AAGATCTCCCGGTAAGAAGTCAACTCCCTCTCCATCTCATACTCAATCTGCGCCTTCATAAGCCCAAACTCCTCCTCCATCTCATGAAGCACAAGGCCACGGCGAATACGCGCAAACTCGCTGCGCGCCAGCTCAATCTTCCCATGACGAATCAACTGTCGCGGCGAGTTAGGCATGAAAGTCGCAAGACCAATGAACATGATAACTCCCCAGGGGATCTGGATGCCCAAAGGCAGGCGCCATTGAATGGGACCGTATGGCGCGTAGCTGCAAGCGTAGCCAACCCAGTTCGACATCATTGTTCCGAATGAGATGCCGCAGCCAGAGATTCCGCCGATCAGACCGCGGTATCTTGGGTCCGAGATTTCGCTCAGGTAGATTGGGACCGTTGCGACCATGCCACTGAAGCTTGTTAATTTTGGCCGGGTGTTTATAGACCTGGTGGAGAGTATGTATGGCTTACCCTACTGCGAAGCCGGCTAGCACGCGGCCGGCGAGGAACATGCCGATGTTGACGGAGGCAGTCTGGATGATGGTGCCGATTGTCACGACCACGCACATCATTTGCATGAAGCGGATGCGGCCGAGCCGGTCGCCGATGAATGTTTGTGTTAGGGCACCGACCGCTTCGCCGGCGATGTACACGGCCACGACCTAGAATAGTCAGTTTCTGGGTCTGTTCTGTCGGGTAGGAGGTTGAATAGCTGGTTGTCTGGACGTACAGCTCCTGTGAGGCCATTTGATGGCTTTTGCATATAATCAATCCAGCTTTGGTGGGCAATCGCTAGTGGATCGTTAGTTTGGATCTATAGAATTTGTGGATACTGTAACTCACTGGTTGTGGCAATGCCCGTATCGAATCCCTGTTTGATCATTAGAGCTAAGTTTGTTTTGTACACGGTCCAAGATCAAATGATCTCGAGACAAGAAATCAACTTACAAACAGGAATGTGCCTATAGCAGCAAAGAAAGCAATACCCAGCGAATACCACATCGCCATCTTGAATGACTATTGATTCTCGGCGGAATCAGACAGGGATTTTAATAAGTGAAGAGAAAACTAGATCACAAAAAGAACTAGAAACAAGAACTACCCCGGTATATTACTTGATCTCTCGCAGGAACAAAGCGGGCTACGTCCGATGGGCCGAGGATGCGTCACACAGCAGAGACAAGCGACGATACACACGCCCATTGTCGGAGGAAGGCCGCAGACCGATTCCTGGGGAAGTGGGGGGACCTGGGGTAGGTAGGTCCTGGATACGAAATGTCCCCACTACTCCGAAATTCATCAAGGTCATTGGAATGTTTTTGAACCGTTTAGCCTCTCAAGACTGGGAAATGGCTGGTTCGAAGCTCTCGTGTGGCCCTCCGGAATGCGGGGGTTGGGGGTCCTCGGGGTCAACCCGCGAGAGAATATGCGTCTTCATATCACGTTCTTTCAGTTTCGGTAGAAAGACTTCCTTCCCATGTCTTATCCGGTCCAATGGTATGAAATCAATGAGGATCGAGAATCGGGTTACCGGTTTAGGACCTCTTGGCGTTTGTTCACCCCCCACGCTCGTCATCTTGCCCTTCGTATTTTCTCGACTCTGTTCTTCTGTGTATGATAATATTTGCTTTCCTTAGGGATATATATAGATTGAAATATGGTAGGTGTGCTGAGGAGACAGAACAGCTTATGAGCGAGTCGCTCGGGAAGTCCTTCCAACCTTCCTTGGAAGGTTTTCAAGTGCCCGTGAGACCCCGACGATTGGAAGTGTAGATTAAGTATCTAATGGGTAGTGGATGCCTTCTAAATACTAAACTGATAGCCTCGGGGGTAAATGAAGCGAGATATGAGACTCCTAAGTCTCACTCCACAGGTAATAGTGGACCCATCTTGGGGATGTGCAGGTAGTCTTGGCAAGAACTGGGGCATATAGCCCACTTTGACAGTCGAGAACAACGGATAAGACATGATAGATGCAGTACATCACTACGATGAGGAAGCTACTAGCAGCTCTACTGTAGAAGCAGGGATAATCATTCACGACTCATAATCCGGTAGTCATAGATGGTGTTTTTGAATAGTTGAATTCCTATTTCATTTTTCCATTGCCAATGTCATATATGCTCCGCAAAAACAGCGAAGCACTTTGTGCAATGCAGGAAACCCAGAAGCCGAACAAGGAAATTGAACAATCTAGAAAACAAGAGCAGCACCCTTGGTCTTCTTGTCACCACTGCAAAGAAAAGAGATACGTCAGTACTGGATGGCAAAATAATAGAATATGCAGATGCAACATACCCCAGCTCGAAGTGCTTGCAGCGCTTCAGGGCGAGCTGCTTCTTGGCCTTGCAAGCAGTGCACTCGAGACGCAGGACGACCTTCTTGGTGGTCTTGGCCTTCTTGTGGAAGACGGGCTTGGTCTGACCACCGTAACCACTCTGCTTCCGGTCGTAACGGCGCTTACCCTGGGCGAAGAGGGAGGCCTAATTCACAAAAGAGAACATCATCAGCAATGGCTCACGACTACCATTCGGGTGTCGAGGGCACTAACCTTGCCAGCCTTGTACTGGGTGACCTTGTGCTGTTGGTGCTTGTGGCAGTCCTTGGACTTGCAGTACGTCCGGCGGGTTTTGGGAATGTTGACCTGTGCGGAGAGATGAGCTTTTGTCTTTTTGGTCTGATTGCGCGAAGATCAATGTCAATGCAGTCCGTGCCCCGAAATCCGATTCGAAATTAGTGCGGTCGCAGAGATGGCTCATGTCCTCCGGGCTGTGGTTTCATAGAACAGAAAGCGTGGTTGCGTAGCTGGTATTCAAACGCATCGCGGGGTGCATCCATTGTGGTCTGCTTCTCGAATCCGTGATTTCGTCATCAAGTGTTGTTATAGCAGGTTTCGCCACCCATTTCCTCTTCAATGCCGACTTTCATATTCCATCCTGCGAGAATCCGGTGGAAATGGACGGTTGGGTGGTTCATCATGCGGTGATTCGTGACGGTCGGCAGATTTGACGATTTCGAGGTCGGCCGCACAGTGGACACACAATCTCTCCATGACTCGAGGAATTTCGAATGGCCGGGGCTGGCAAACACTTTGACATATCTCGTAGGGTGATATCCTTACCATTTTGACTGACTTGGCCGGATAGCTGGGTGGTGGTCGTTGGATTGTCGCTTGTCGGAGGAGAGCAAGTGCGATTGTTGGGTTGTGGGATTTCCTCGCTTAGGCCCTATTGGGTGGGCGCTAACCATTTTAGGAGTTGCCAAGAATATTATGCTGAGTCATTCATAAAGTTTATGCCTGAGGCATACTTGTCATCACTGATCTCTAAAAATGGTTGGAGTCAATTCTCAGCATATATCTTGTATTCTGCTATACGAATCCTTCTCCAAGTACAATACTGTCCCCTACACCATACCACGTCCGGCCCTTCATCAATTCCAACCCCTTTTCATGACCTATCACCCATTGCCCTTGAGATGGGTCCCCCAATCTCTTCCACACATCTGAGCGGAGTTCATGATTGAGATCGTCGATCTTATCAATAAGTCGCGATGCTTTCTTCTCGAATTCCTTTGCAGAAGCTGACTCTCCTTTTTTGGGGTCACTGGGCACAATAAAGCGCGCAATGGTGATGTGCGCAGAAGGAACGGTATACCTAGCCGCGATTGGACAGCCAGATTGAGTCACGATATTGTAGAGATCACTTCGCAGATGGTGATAGGTGAACTGATCATCTTTTCCACTATACACATTGCGACCTTCCTCGCCAGCTGCGGGAACAAAGCTCAGAGCAATAGCCGAAGTGTCGTAGCTGATTACTGGCTTCACCAACCGGGCACGGTGGGTGAGAGTGTAGTTTGCCAGCTCTGCTACGAGCCCGCTCATCTGGAGAGAAGCAGCTATTTCATCAATTTCAGGTCCTGTTAGTGCAGATCTGATCTCGAGTGTGGTCATGTGCAGATGATGCGGGGGTACCAGCCAGAGACCTATGTTGTAGATGCAGTTAGTACAGTGTCTCTACATTTGACATAGATCATATTGTGCACACACCAGGACCAATTAAAGGACCAATCTCCTGCTGGATCTTGTAAACCAAGTTCCGGATATGCTTTGGGGGGCGTGCCCAAAAGGCAAGGTTGTTTCTCGGGTCGATGAAGTCTGTCAACCCCTTCTCTGCCTCGAGGACTTTGGACAGGATCTCATCTTCTTTCCATTCGCAGAATCCAGGTTGGCAGATTTGGTCTCTGAAAAGGGCATTTCTATTGCTTCTATGGTTCTCATAGGCAATTTGCAATTTTTTCTGGGTGGGATTATTAGCATTGGCTGTTCACAATTAATGACTCAAACTTACCGGGTCATTTTCAGAACGAGTGATCAATTGCTGAAACTGATTCTCAGCTGTTACATGTTGCGGTTCATTGGTCATGTTGTCTGGTTTTGAACCGATTATTGTGATTTTAGTCTGGGCCAAAGGTTCCAGCGGGGTAGATGGGGTAAAAATGTATGCAAGTGAGGAAATTTATACTATCTACTTTCTGGCTATCAAGTAGTAATGATAGACAGTAAACTGTTTATAGTATTTGTATCACTTACTAGCCAGAAAATAGCTTTTTTGTTTCTCAATTCCTTCCCAAAATATCAACTATATATATTGCAAGTAGTTCATTATATATAGCTGAACTCTTAAGGACCAATCATTTCCAATGATGATATTTTGGGGGCTTACTGCTAAATACAACATAGAATAGCAAAAACCTAGCGAGGTATCATCTTCCTTCAAAAGCCCTAATTACAGTGGTCCCTACACTAGATTGTATACATTCTCGCAAGTCAAAGTGAGGCTCCGACGCGATCAGGCAATAAGGCCACAGGACCCCACCCAAACCCCGCCGGGCTCACATCTTCTCTCCAAACACCTGACAAGAGCTGTACCTCCAAATACATTCCAGCCCCTACCTTGCTCCATTACTATTATTCACACCACTGAAAAGCCACCGGCGCTTCAATATGTTGATCAAGTGCGTTCCTCAGCTCCAGCGTTACCCCATCTCCATTGCATCATGGCACGACCCCGAACTGGAAAAGGCCATACCCAGAGCGGCAAGCTGACATTCCGCGTCCAAACAGGGTCCGAACACTCACCGGCAAGGAGATCGAGCTCGACATCGAGCCTGACTACAAGGTAAACCACCCGTCAAGACTGGATGCGTTTCCGGCTTCTCCCCGCACGGAATCACTCTACCCTTCGACCGAAACCCCATCGCTATATCAATACTTTCTGAATGTGCCTATACTGATACGGTCGGTTTTACACAGGTCTCCCGGATAAAGGAGCGTGTCGAGGAGAAGGAGGGAATTCCCCCAGTCCAGCAACGACTCATTTTCGGCGGCAAGCAGATGTAAGAAACTACCCCAGAGTTATCTTATTGCGTTTTTATTATTATCAAAAAACAGATCAAAGCTAACAACTTGTCACCAATAGGGCGGATGACAAGACAGCCTCAGAATATAACCTCGAAGGTGGCGCCACGCTCCATCTTGTGCTTGCTCTGCGTGGAGGATGCGCTGCGAAGTCGAAATAACCGCTTTTTGTCATTTTTAGATACCATATTTCTGCAGCAATGTGAATCAGTTGAGGAACACTAGTGGTGTCCATCCCGCATCCCATTTCGCGAGCATTCGACCGCGCGGCCGAGCAATGGGATTTGAGCTGAAATGGAGAGGCAGTATTCATACTAGGTGTTTTTGGACTGTAACGTTTTATTTATTCGGGTCCTTTTCTTGAAGGACATAAGGACTGGCTTGGTTTTGCTATACCGTTCCTGACTGTATTTCCGGGCTTTGGATGTATGCCTACTTCAATGTAGTTGGGTGCGCAATCCCATGGGATACAATATGAGTACTGCTGATGCTTTTTTGGAATGAAGCACCGGGAGTTGACAATATTACCTAGCCTAGCTAACTAGGTTTCGAACGCTAGATAGGCACGCGACGACCTTGAATAGAGCTCACCTCATGGCAAGCCTAAAGACCTGACCAGCAGCATCGTTTGGACTTTCCGCGATAGTCAAAGCTTCGGAAAGTCGGTTGAGGCACATGGCCTGTACGTAGCATTGGACAAGCAGAGCCCATATCAACCTTACAGACATAACTGGAGTTAAGGATAAGAATATGTGGGTTGAAAATGTGATGAGAATTTAACAGAGATGAATCACAAGTGAGGTGAATCCCACCTCGGGTATCAGAACGCGCCCAAACTCCTTAGCCCAAGTAAAAAAGTTGATGTCACCTATATCCCACATAGACAAGTATGTAGAAGGGCTCCTTTCAGATACCCCGAAAATAACAGAAGGCCCAGTGATCCGAAGATCACGATAACTGACGCCGCTTTGCCGGCATGAAAATGCTCGGCGCCGGACGTCGACGAATAATGCCCGGGCGGGGCGGAGGAGGCCCGGAGGAAGGCGGGCCGGAGGGGGGTAGAGAAGATGTGTGAGGGATCGGGAGGGACGAAGAAGAAGAAGAAGAAGAAGAAGAAGAAGAAGGGGCGCAAGGGGCAGGGCGAGAGGAAGAAGAAGCAGAGGGTTTCTCTGCACCATGAGGGGGAGAGGTCGCACGGCGCTTCAGCGTAGGCTTGGGCTCAGAGGCCACAGCTGGTGACTTTTTTACGCCAGACGCATCGCTACTGGATGCGCCACGGGGTGAGGCGGCGGAGGAGGAGGAGGCGGTGGAAGTCAGTGCGCGTAGTCGTGCCTCATTCTTGGCAAGCATGGGGTGCTGGAGAGAGGGTGGAAGCATGCCTGGGCGCCGGCTGATGCGTGGGGCAAGTGGTTGCGCCTTCGATGGCGGCTTTGGTGCTGGCTGCTCGGCGGGGCGACGGTGTTCTTCAACCAAGCCAATCGGTGCACGCTTGACTTGCGACGCACGGTTGTTTAGAGATTTGGTAGGCATCGTCAGCGCAGTGTTACGCTTCTGTGGCTGGAATATGCTAGGCTTCTTTTCAACACCGCCGCCGCCCGTCCTGTGATTATATGTAGCATGGCGTTGTCGGAAAGACGGTCGGGATCCAGCCATGCGCAAGCCCTTGCGCTCAGGGATGAGTTTGGGAGTGAGGAGTGCACGCTTGGCACTAATGCCGTCAATTGCCATTTTCATCCTCTCCGCATCTGCATCAAGTGAACGTTGGGCTTGATCGCGGAGATCACAGTAAACCCCATACCAGTTGTTGGTATTATCGGGGAGGTGGTACTTCTCCCAGTCGGGAATGTCCCGTTTAATGAGCTCAAGCCACAGTTCTTCGTCTTCTTCGGCGAGGTGGGGGGATGCAAGCTCCATGGCGTGCTGAAAATTTATCAAAGATGGTATTAGTAAATGAGTGTGAAACTGCGAATATAGTCCAAGTGAAGCTTAGGACGACGTACCAGCTTTTCGGGGTTATGGATATTAAGCAAGATAGGACGGGCAAGTGAGTATGGCATGGCGCCCAGATCATCCAGGTCTGAAAATCACAAAGTTAGTCTGAGACCATTCAAAATGAGAGAGTTCATTTGATCTATACCTTTGACAAAGCGGATAGCCGTGGCTGTGGCTAGGTGAAGTAGTGATGGGGCTGGCATCTTGCTTATGACGGCAATGGTTCAAACCGAATTATTTGGTACCATGAAATGTGCGACATGGGGTTGAAGCAAGTAATCAAGAGATATCAAAGCAGACGAGGCGCAAGCCGCTCTCAACAGGACAAAGGACAGACAAAAAGATGCCAGATGGGACGCTATTCTGGTGGTTGTAGACGGTAGGAGGCCCAGCTTTAAATAAATGGATGATCACGCGGTCGACGCTGATTGGCTGCCTAGAGCTATATGGGTTTAATGCCCAAGTGCTTTATTCGATGTTCTTTTTTCAAATGTTTCATATTTACAGTTACAGAGTCGAGTCCGTAGTACTGGCCTAATATTTGTAAGGTTGGATATCGGCTCAAGTGAGGACGAAATGACCTTCATTGTCAACATGCTCGGGGATCTCAAATTTCATGGTATATTTGCCGGGTCAACCACGACGATGGGAGTTTTAAACTGGGAGTTGACACTATACCTGTGAATATCAAAAACTATATTGTTGCTTGTAGGATTGTGCAACCAGCACATATAAAGCAATCTTGGAAGTAATGTAGCTGCTCTAGGATATCATCCAGAGGCACCTTTCATTTATTCATACATACGACTTCTCCAAACGCGCAATGTATTGAAAGTCCAGTGGTATGGTATATATAAACTCCTTTGGTTTTGAAGCAGCCTTTTATATTCCAACGGCTTCTTGCATTCATCTTGTAGTTGTCTCGGATCCATCCTCCGTCATCTTTGGAACTTATAGATAGAAGCACGTGATGGCCCACCGCGAAGCAAACCATGCAAACACCGTCTTGATAGCATCATCGAGGGGCATATCAATGAACTTTTGAAAATCAGCTCGACATATCATTAACTTCGGTTGTCAAGATACAAAATCTACAGGTATGTCCCTTGTGGCTTTTCTTTCTGCTATGATGTTCGTATATACACAGTGCCTTGAACAATTGTGCCAGCAATGCTAGTTGTACAGCTATCATTCGGACATCCTGAATGCTGGATATAGACTCCCGATAGCGTTAATTAGAAGACACCCTCCTTGTCTTATGGCATCTCTTCCAACAATATTATTCAAGAATTGCAGTTGAAGCCCCGGACACATCTAACCCTCATACAGATAATCACAATGGCACCCCGCACACAGCTAGAGATCACGACTTCCTCCGTGATCCGCCTGGTCAAGGAGGAAGCTTCGTATCACAACGAGCTTCAGCAGCAGGCTGAGCGTATCAAGAAGCTGGAGGCTGATACCGCTGGCGACGATGAGAACCGCGAGTATACCCTGAAGCAAGAGGTATGTGCCTTGTACAGGAGCTTTGCTTCTACCGAATCATCGTGCTTATCTTTCCGAAACCTCTAATGCTGACATGAGTGATAGCACATGGCTCTTGAGGAGACCAAGAAGGTCCTGCCTACGTTGAAGGAGAAGATTGTGCAGACTGTTGCGAACCTGGAAGCTCTGATTGTGAGTGTAACATCCTTTCTCTACCACCTATCTACATTCTTGGATTCCATTAACCAACTTTGATAGATCGAGGAGGGCAAGAAGGGATCGGAGAGCAACGTTGAGCACATTACCGCTGCCAAAGAAGCCATCGCTCAAGCTAAGACCGCACAGCGCGAGATCTCGTGAAAATCTTGTGAAAGAGATGTCGATTACATCAAAGCAAAAAGAAATACCCATAAGGTGGAAGATTCCATAATATCATTCAATAAATTGAAACCATGCCCAACGCCAGACCATAAACCAGAACTCCTTGCTAGTGCTAGTAATATACACGCCGAAATGCATCTCAGGTAGTATCCATCTTTCCGCCGAAGTCATCAGGGAGTTCCTCCCCTTCCTCGAGCTCAGATAATTCGCCATCACTAACAGTAGAGATTTCACCCTCATCCAGCATATTGGTGTCTTCATGTGCCCCATCGCTCTGGGCAGTTGTGACTTGTCGCAAAGGTGACGCAGCACCGGCGGCCCCGGGCTTCTCAACATGGAGAGCAGATGGCCGACCGGCCTCATCTTGGCCGTGCTGGGAGGGGGTCACGGCATCGCTTTCGTGACCAGGAGGAGTATTCCCACTGCTAGCCTTACCCTTGGATGCGACATCTCCCTCGTCGCCGTCTTCGCCCTCCTGCATGCCTTCCCGGCGCTCGACTTCCTCTTTCTCATCACGGATCAGGCGACGAAGCTGCATGCCCTCGTCCACAATACGACCGAACTGCTCGCGCCGCTCAGCCCAGGTCATGGCATAATCCTTACTTTCCTTCTCGAGATCTGCGATCTCTAGTCGCAATTTCTGAAGGTTCGCGGACTGGTCTTCGCGCGGCTTGAGTAGGCGGTTGCTCGTGATTTTGTCCGTCAATTCATCGTAGGTCTTTCGCAAGGAGAGAAGTCGTTGTGCCTCTTCAAGTTGACTGCGTAGATCGGCCGTGCTTTCTCGTACTGACTGCATGGTCGATAGAATCTGAACTCGCTCGGTGGCATATCGCTGGCGTTCTTGCTCGTTGCTGGTAAGAAGAAACTGCACGCGCGCAATGCTGGCCTCGAAGGCGGCAAAGTCGAGTGAGACATCCTCGCGGAAGTGGCGCCATTCTTCGAGCCTTTTCTGTTTCTCAGCTTCTGTTGCGGTCGCATCGGAATCGGCGTCGGTCTCTTCGGGGGGGGGGTGAGAGGGAGCGATGATGGTGAGACAATGAGAGATTCGGGGTTCAATAGTCGTTTTGAAATTCGCTTGAATGGTTTTTCTTCGACGTTGAGGAGACGCGACTTGTGGAGCGCATCTGTCACAGCCGGGGCGTTAACATTGACCTGGGAGGGCAGAGTTGGAGTGGATTCAACCTTCTTCTGGCTGGCCTAGCAGCCCGTACGAAGCCATTTTCTGTATCTGATTATGAATTTCAATCCCAAAGTCCAATAACGCAGGGTGGATCGGAAGATCGCGACTTCAAGGTGATCGAAGTGGGAGGAATATGAAAAGTGAAGCCGAGCGGTCTGGCACTTGAACTCCGCCTTAACCTTATTGACCTCCAGGGCTTAATGGCGATTCTTCAACTATCAGCGGTGCTGCCTAACGGGAGTAATCGACTTTCGTTTACGAAATTAATTATAGCATCCGAGGCTTTTTGGCTAGAGACCAATTCAAAACTACCCAGAATCGGTCGTGTGCTTGCTTAAGGACCACGCTGTACTCCGCAATCCAAAGCTGTCTGCAAGTACGGCCTGGTGAAGCCACAACCAGAGGCCCAATGGACTTTGTCGCTCAAGGCTCTGTGACTGCTGCCCTAGCTGCTAACTTCTTTCTGTCCTCTGTACTTGCGTCAGTTTCATCACTATGACGGAGATGTACTCCGGCCTCCACGTGGGCCAGCGGTTTTGCTCTCTGGAAGAGTTCAAAACATTGGTACGGAGTATATCAGTACGGCAACACTGGGAGCTTCGTGTGGCCCGTAGCAACAAGAAGAGCGTCGTTATCGGATGTCGATCATCGGCAAATTGCTTCTTTCGTGTGGTCTGTCGCTCAAACAAAAATGCCACCTACATCACCAGTCTTCAAGACTGCCATAGTTGCCGTCGGAGTGCAAATTCTCCTGCGGCCACACCCGCTCGCTCTGAAGCTTCCCATGTGCGATTTCTGCTGAGTGAGATCCCGAAACTTTTCGATATGAAGTCGAAGATACGAGCCCAGGATGTTGTGGATGCTGTGAAACGCTACCATGGGTATGATATATCTATGCGCCAGGCACAGCGAGCGCTTACCAAACTTCAACCACGACATGCCGAGGGCCAGGATGAACATGGGTTGGATATCGATATGAGTGCAGAGGAACAGCAGTCACCCGAGCAATCCCCCGAGTCGCAAGGAGAAGGGGCACACACATATGGGGCGATATCTGAGAATCGTTGGCTTCCAGAGCATCTCCCATCATCACTGGTCGACGATGATAACATGTCCCCAAACGAGACCTCAAACAACCACATACCTGCTCCACCATCTAGCTCCCAAGCCCTGCCACCTCCACCACAGGTGCAACACGTACCGATTCCCACATCAGACCAACCCTCTTTCAATCAAAACCCACATTCAATGAATATACCCCAATCAGGAGTCCAATACCAGACTGCTGCTTCTTTACCAGTAGGAGTGGTCGGACCTCCGAAAGACTACCCTCAGCGCAGTGATCACGATGCCGTTCCCCAGATGGTTCTTACAAATTTCAAGATTGAATTCACCTGCACGACCTGTGGGTCACTGAACCAGAGCTTTTTCCCCAACCAGGGCAATGTCACTGGTGCCAGCTATATGACCCATCATGCTGTACCGAATCCTGGCAATGTTCCAAGACACGCTGGAACTACTCCTCAGAGTGGTGTTGGTAGCAGTAGCAATGCAGTCGGAGAAAACCCTGCTTACGATATAAATGCCTCCAATCCACCTACCATCCAGAACGCCTGGCCTGGTGGTGGCCTAGGAGTTCAAATCGGGCCGGCACATACCTAACATATCATGTTAAAAGGGATGATGTCGGTCACCCATGGTACTGATGTTGGAATATGCGGCTGTGCAAACCCGTGCTTGCGCACTGCAACCCGAGCCAAAACGCACACCAGCTGACTCTATGCTTTACTATGCATGATATTGTATGGTATTTGATGCCGTGACCGTCCCGGATTCCGACTTTCAACTCGTTCTATGAGAAGACATTAAGGTTAGAATGCTGCATGCCCGTTCCAGATCACGAGGACAACCTCTAACTCTAGTGCGAAGGGGGCCGGTTCAATGGCCTTTTCTGGGATCTCTGTTTTGATTTTGACTGTGAGGACTCTATATAGGTCCATTTTATGCAGGGAAAGTAACGTCCGAGACGACCTGGGACTGGATATAATCAGGGCTGATATTTTTATGAAGTCGACGAGCTACGCTGGTTAATTGTGTTTTGATACCACTTTTGACAGTGGAGTTGTTAATACCTATTCCTATGTGCTTAGTTCCGAGATTATCACCTCATCTACTACCACATATTGTTATACCCATGCATTTGATTAAATACATTGTTCCCCAAAACAAGTTTCTTCCCTCATGCAGAGCTGCAGGATCTTGCGCAACCCTCCCTCACCTATTGGTAAAAACGAGCTAAGTTGGGCATAGGCGGCGCTGTGTGGGCTAAATATATACATCTGTGTCGAGAATATATGGGCCCAAATAGAAGTAGCTTAATTGGCCAAATTGACCGCACAATAAGTGGTCAAGGTGCAGAACAACAGCGAGCGACACGAATACTTCGGAGAAATATCCGGAGATTAAAGGCCTAAATTGCCTGATTCGGCATCCCGGACCGCCATTACTCATCAATCGGAGGTCCGATCGGCTATCCGACGCGGATCCACAACAGACTCCGCTCTTCGCCAACCGCACCGAAAAGATGACGCGGAATTGAGCCGACAGTGTCCGGATCGAAATCCATCGGTGCGATATTGGGCTGTAATGCAAACCGAGGACACAAGGTTTCACTTGCGTCGGACCTGGATCCGATGTGATACCTGCCAGCGGCGTTCAAGCTCCAATCGACATCCAGCGTTAAGTTGCCCGATGGATCGAGAGGCCCCTAAAACCCTGCCAGGGAAAAACTTTTCTTACCAATAAAATGACTCTTATATGAACAAATTTGCCGTGGGATTAGCTGTTCCTTTAAATAACATTGAGATCCTCCTCATTCCATACAATTGTGCTTTGGATAGTATCACGCCAAGCATTCCCTCCCAACCTTAATATACTTCGTGTCGCAGTATCTTCTACGCCACAGGGCAGGGCACAGATGGCCATTTGCGAAAAGTCTCGGACAATCTAAGGACAGTTACCATTTTGAGCGAGCTTGGCAGGGCCGCATCTGCAACTATGAATCGACAACGAGAGGCCGAAAAGGCCCTTCACGACCAAACAAATATTCTCCCCTTCGCGCAACTCATGGTTGTCTTCACGGGCCTAGCAATTTCCTTGCTGATTTGCATGGTGGATCAGAATGGCATCAGTGTCACACTACCAACGATCTCACGCGAACTGGATGCTCAGAATACCATTTCCTGGGCTGGAACCTCGTCGCTAATTGCAAACACCATGTTCACCGTGCTTTACGGCCGACTGTCAGATATTTTTGGCCGGAAAATCATGTACATTTCCGCATTAGCCTTGCTGTGTATTGCAGACTTGCTCTGTGGCTTGTCCCAGAGCCCGGCCATGTTTTATGTTTTCCGAGGCTTGGCTGGTGTTGCTGGTGGTGGTGTTACCTCTTTGACGATGATTATTGTTTCCGATATCGTGACCTTGGAGAAGCGAGGCAAGTACCAGGGTATCCTAGGTGCATCTCTGGGTATTGGTAATATCATTGGGCCATTTCTGGGTGCTGCATTCATCATGCGATCAACGTGGCGCGGTTTCTTCTGGTTAATTTCTCCATTGGCTGCTTGCTCTGCAGTCGTTGGATACTTCCTCATTCCGAATAATGCACGCAAAGATAGCTTCCGAGAAAACATTGGCCGCATTGACTGGTTCGGACTGCTTGCATCGTCCATTGGTATCATTTTCCTCTTGATCCCTATCTCGGGCGGTGGATCGTATTTCCCCTGGGATTCACCGATGGTCATCAGTATGCTCGTTATTGGAGGTTGTTCACTCGTTGCATTTTTGCTTATTGAATGGAAAGTGGCTACACTTCCGATGCTACCAGGTAAGTTCTGATATACCCATAGTGATAAAAGGGACATTCAATTGACATGCAACAGTGGTCTTCTTCAAAAATAAGGTCGTCTCTGCAATCTTCTTGCAAAGCTTTCTGTATGGTGCAGTTTACCAGGCAAGCCTTTACTACCTGCCATTGTACTACCAGAATGCCCGTGGCTGGTCGCCAATAGCCTCTGCGGCCATGACATGTCCTATGGTTGCGGCCCAATCAATCTTCTCAATCACATCCGGACAGTACATCTCACGAGTAAAGCGGTATGGTGAAATCATTTGGATTGGATTTGGCTTGTGGACCTTGTACGTTGATCAATGCCTAAGCCCTCTTACTATGACCCCATACTAATAATATCCTTCCCATAGGGGGTCGGGTCTCATGTTATTATTCGGTACCCACACCCATCCCGCCGTTATTGCCGTCATTGTGGCAGTCATGGGTGCCGGTATTGGCTTCACATTCCAGCCTACTCTCGTGGCCCTGCAAGCTCATTGCACCAAGTCCCAAAGAGCAGTCGTGATTGCAAACCGTAACTTCTTCCGTTGCATTGGTGGTTCATGTGGCCTCGCCATCTCAGCAGCAATTCTGCAGGCTACTCTTCGCTCTAACCTACCAAGCAAGTTCGCATACCTGGCAGACTCTTCATACTCGCTTCCTTCAAGAGCGAACCTCAGTGCAACTGAGTGGGCTTCAATCCTGCTTTCTTACAGCAAGGCTTCCCACGCAGTATTCATTCTGCAGGTCCCCCTCATCGGTGCGTGTTTCCTGGCATGTATGTTCGTGCGTGACAGAGGTCTGGAGCGTCCAAAGGAGCCGGAAGAGATTGAAGAAGAAAAGCGGAAAGCCCAAGAAGAGAGAGATGCCGAGGCGGCTACTTCTGATTACCCCGAAGAGTCTGTCGACCATCAGGCATACCACCAGGCAGAGAAGCGTCGTTCTGCATCGACATTCGCCGAATCGTCTATGCCGCCTTCTCGGGCGGAACCTAATACTGAGGGATATGGAGAGAAGGAGCAGCATCGAGGCATATAGAGACTTGAAAACGCTGAGGAGCCGCTCGATTTGATTTTGATTTGGTTGAATCTGGCATTTGCTTTTGTTGCATAGGCGGCGTGTGATACCAAATACATATGTAGACTTGACA